CTTTCTAACTTACTTGAAAATCAGTTAAAAGCACTCCTACATATGCTAGTGTCACTCACAGTACCCTGTGTACCATATTGCCATAAACATGCCATGTAGAAAAATAAAGGAAAAAAGAATTGACTATATATGGTTATACTGATGAGGGAAACTCTGTTAAAGCTGATTTTTCCTGTTGATTTAGAAAAAGAAATCACAATGAGGAAACTTAACCAAATTTTACTGGAATTTCTAAAGAATTAAAAACTTCTTTTTGTGTTAAATTTCACACCAGGAAATCTTTGCTGAGCATCGTGAATAAGCAACTATATGTATAAAGTGATGCTGTGAACAAAATAGTCAGCAAGATTAGATGTAGGAATGGGAAGATGTTCAATAGAGGTAGAAAGTGAACATTACCCTTGTGTTTAGAAGTGATAAAACTTCTGCTGAAAAAACTATGCCCAGCTCCAGTCTAACATAATTCAGCATTGGTGATAATACACTGAAGAAGGTTCAGAGAAGAATTGTAAGATCAGAAATGCAATGTAAGAAAAAAAAAAAAAGGCATTCAGCTGTGTTTCTCAAATCTATTTGCGTCTGGGAGACAATGCTTTCTCTTTAAAGAATAGCAGATAGGAATAACATAACTATAGTTCTTTGCACAATAGATATTATTGTGCAAATTTGTTCTTTGCAAATTTGATATTGTAACCAGGGTTTTTGTTATTTTGCCCTTAGATGACAAAATGTATTTGCTTATAAGCCAGAAGCTTACAAAAAAACTTTGGTGGATCTGAGCATGTGTGTATGCAGTCAAATCCTCCTCTCTCACCCTGTTTGACAAGGACGCTCTGCTGCATCAGACTTAGGTTTTGTGTCAATGCCGAAACCATAAACTTTGTGGCGCATGGGCTATCTTTTATGTTTGTGTTGCAGCGAGTTAAAGGCCTGCCTTGCTCTTTCTGGAGGTTTTTGATACCATTTTAATTAAGACTTTTGGTTACATTAAAGGAACTATGAGGTTGCAAAAAAACAAGTATTTATAAGTAAGAAGTGCTGAATTTAAAGTTACCTGTGCAATTTTAAATTGGCACGCTTATGTTTAAAGAAGTAATACAAAAATGAATGAATCAGGACTGTGCGGTAAATGAGATTGCGGCCTGTATACCTGTTAGCTCATTTGCTACACAAATGGGCATGGCTATAACAAATGAGGGCAGAGGAAAAGCTCTCACCCACCAAAACTCTTTGCCCCAGCTTCCTTCTACGCGCAAACTCCTTCCCCTCTTGTTTGCCACGCTATCGCAAGGTGTTTGTTTGAAATGTTCTGATTTCTCTGCACTTTAGACAAAATCGCTCCCTGCCGCCCGCCTGCGTACAAGCGCGGCGGGAGAGCTTGCTGAAAGCAGAGCCTGTGTCTTGCTGATGGGGAAGGACGTTTGCAAAAGTTTTCCTGCCCAGCCGCTGGAGCCCAAGGCTGGAGCGTGCTCCGTTGCTCTCTGGGGATGATGCCAAAAGTGCTGCCCCCAGAGTAGTGGCAGTTACTCACTGTGGGTAGGTTCTCCCGTTAATTTAGCAGCAAAGCTCTAACCGAGCGTAGGCAAGATAGGATCCCTGCCTCCCTCCGCCAGGTTCCTAATTTGACTAAATTGAAGTAGGTTTTTCTTGGGCTGTCCCTACCCTACTTCAGTTCTTTCTCCAGCACAGGAAAATATTAAGACGTTTTCAGCGAACTGGTTGTAGGCAGTTTTTTTGACATGGGGTGAAGAGAGGGGAGGACAGTTCTCCTTAAATATGTTCTGAGAAACAACTGAACTATTTTTGCCCAATTAAAAAAAAAATCTGTGAGTCAGACACAAATATGGGAAATCTTAGGCAGCGCACAGTTTGGCAAAGTGTAACCATCTCAAAAACAAGGATTATGATGGAAAATGTTGGACAAGCCTAACTGTAAGCACGGCTGTCCCTCTGTCTTCCCCCCCCCCCCCCCCCGTAATAATATATAATCACTGAGTAACTGCAGAAAAACTTCTTACATTCACGTTAAGAAAATGTAAAAAATAACAATTGTCACACCACGTAGAGTCTATCTCGCCATACTTAATACGTGTAAAAACACAAAGCTGTTCTTTTAAGACAGGATTTCTGTGTAACGGATTACATGCTGCACTAAAGGGCAGCATTTAACAGCCACCCTTTACCCCTTTCTAATTTTTAACTTGCATCTTCAGCCTTCAAACACAGCAAGAGCCTGCCTCTTGGTCAACTCGCTCCTGTGCGCGAAACACACTTGAGGGCTGCGTGTTTGTGCAGCAGCGACGCTATTTTCAGCGTGCGTGTGTTTTCCCTTGTGTTTTTTTTCTCCCCTCCTTGAAGGAAAGGAAGGAAATAAGCTTATTTCCCCCCCCTC